TTCCTTACCTAAATATCTCTATGATTCCTTTCTTTATTGCCTTCAGGTTTGTGTGCAGCTGCTCAGCAAGCTCCTCTCCTGACCACCCTATACAACATCAAAAGCTCTAACATCTTCATGCTCATAGCACTCTTCCACCTTTCCCTACAGTACTTATCACTAACATTTTATTTGATTGATTGTTTGCTGCCCCTCCTGGCTATGTACTCCATGAGGGCAAGGATTTATATAATTTGCTCACCATTTCATTTACTCTGTTTAGAGAAATGCTTTCCAACCATGAGCTTTGGTTTGGTTGTTTTCCAAATTCATGCTCCTTCCACTTCTTTGGTGGCCTTTGTAGCCTTTCCTTGGAACGTTGAATCATTTGGTTCCAATCAGGTATGTTCATCCACCCTGTGACCATGGTTCATTGCGTCAACCTAATCTCCACTGCCATCTTGTCAGTGCACCAGATCTGTGCTGAGATGCGGAGTCACCAGAGCCCCAAGGAATATGATCATGCTCTTTTTCCTTAAAGCACTAATTAGTTTTAGAGCTGACAAAAACTGGAAAATATACTGTCCCATTATTTGGAAAGATGCCACCATTTAAAGACATCAAAGACCAGAGCCCTGCACTACTTGAAATAATCATCTTTGCAGCAGCGATTCTACCTGTATTTGTTTCAAAGGGAAAATTATGAAGTTCCACAGATAAGAAGATCATTGCCAAGCCACAGACTTGCCTTGCCTTTTCTGCAAGTCTTTCGCCTACGACTGAGTAAGTAAATCACATCCATTCTACTCTCGGTTGGACTTTCCCAAAAGACACAATTCTTTGGAATCCTTTCCTGGCTCCACTCTTAGGTTTCTCACATTCTATTTCTTTGCATGGGTCTCTCTGTCTCTTTATCCTTTGATTTTCAATGCCTCTGCAACTAGCATTTCCACTAACAAAGGAACCAGGTTTCCATGCTAGCCTTCTAGGACAAAGCTGGTCAAGACAAGAAGCAGAAACACATTTTCCAGCCATGAAGTTGCTCTACAAGGGGAAAGGAGAGCAAGAGGCCCCAGAATGAGAGTCCCTTGAGCGAGAAATTGTCCATATTTGAACTGACAATAATATTGGTAGAGATCTTCCATTGGGGTAGGCAGTTCATTCTACTGTTAACAAAGCTTGGCCAGAAACCTGGGTTCATGGACCCTGTCAGTGTGATGGCTCCAGCAGCCAGGATACACTGTGTTGGTAAAGTCTCCTGGAATTTACTCAGTTCTTGGGTGAGATGGAGAAACAGCTCATTCCCCTTAGAAACTCTTGCCAAAAGAGAATAATGATGTGTCCCCACAATCGTGACTGACTGCTAAGTAAGTGTGGGCAGTAGTTGTCTTAAACAGTGCATGCAAAGAAAAGTGCTCATTGCCAATCAGCACAAATCAGGGGCTCTACTCTGACTTGTGGCAGAGCAAGGAGCTGAGATACCAATTCCTGTGTTTTAGAGGTAAGCTTCTCTGCAGCTCTCAGTTTATCTATTTACCATACCACTCAGTACCACCCTCAGTACCACCAACTAATCAACTGCTCTGTGGTTCCATCAACAGCACAATAGAAGCTGTCAGACATCTTTCCCAGGAAGACTCTCAATGGCATCTTTGCTCATTGTTCTAATCCATCAAAGGCCTCATATTCCAACTTGTAAAACTACTTAGCAGAGCTTGAAGGCCTCCTTGGGTTATTAAATTATGTTGTTACCAGTCCCTTGCCAGTCATGTGCTTCGATTCTATATTTGCACCTTGAGCAGAGTTATGAGAAGGGGAGTTGCTGATAGACTTACTAAATAAATTGTTGAAATGAGGAAGCAGAGATTCTATTCTGTTAGCACCTTTAGCTGCCTTTTCTTTTTCCTCCATCTGCCTTTCTCTTGGTTTCAGTCTCTATCTTCTCTTCCCTCCCCTCCCCTCCCCTCTCTTCTCCTCCCCTCCCCTCCCCTCCCCTCCCCTCCCCTCCTCTCCCCTCCCCTCCCCCCTCCCCTCCCCTCTCCTCTCCCTCTCCTCTCCTCTCCTCTCCTCTCCTCTCCTCTCCTCTCCTCTCCTCTCCTCTCTCCATTCTTTCCCTCTTCCTCTCGCATGTGCGAAAGACTTCTGGCTTCCTATATTTATTTGCATGCCTCCTTATGGTACATGATCTAGATAGCTCTTTTTTTTAAAGATTTATTTATTTTAATTGGAAAGCCAGATTTACAGAGGGAAGGAGAGACAGAGAGAAACATCTTCCACCCACTGGTTCACTCCCCAAAGTGGCCACAATGGCTGGAGCTGAGTTGATCTGAAGCCAGAAGTCAGGAGCTTCTTCTGGGTCTCCCATGCAGATGCAGGGAGCTAGGCAGAAAGTGAGGCAGCCAGGACACAAACTGAAACCATATGGGATCCAGGCACATGCAAGGTAAGGACTTCAGCCACTAGGCTACTGTGCTGCACCACTAGTCAGCTCTTTATCCTATTTGGTTCCTTAACTTCTCCAGATTGGATGCTAATTTTTTTCTAAGATTTATTTTACTTTTATTGGGAAGGCAAATTTACAGAGTGAAGGAGACATGGAGAAAATGATCTTCTGTCCTCTGGTTCATGCCCCAAGGTGCTCTGAAAGCAGGAGCAGGAGTTTCTTTCAGGTTTCCCACATGAGTGTAGGGTCCCAAGAATTTGGGTCATTTTCAACTGTTTTCCCAGGCCACAAACAGGGAGATGGATAGGAAATGGAGCAGCCAGAACATGGCATGAAAGGTGAGGATTTAGCTACTGAGCCATCACGCTTGGCCCTGGATGTACAAATTTTAAGAGCTAAACTAGGTTGGATAGAAATGTACCTATCCAAGTATTAAAACAATTTAGAGGACATTGCATATACAACATAGAGCAGACAGGGTGGTTGGAGTTCAAATCCAAACAATGAAATTGCTATGGGGTGCAGCCAGTGATAGCCAGCACCCATTGACAGTGGGCAAATGAAATTTGGCTGTGTTCTCTACCCTCTGTCCTGAAGGTGGGTCCTAACAGCAATGGAATGTTAATTCCATCCTCAACCACCCCCCAACATCCTAAATTAGCCAGGATATTGGAAGTCCAATTAGTCTAGGTGTTTTTAGCTACAAGCCCAGTTCCTGTTCCTGCCCATCCCAACGAGCACTAATCAACTCCTTAGCCCACAACACTTAGGTATTCACTCCTGCCCACCTGTGACTCCCCTATCAACTGAATGGGGAAGGTATTACATTGTTGTGTAACCACTCCCCTCATAAGCCCCTTTAAAAGGCCTGTGAAGCAGGGGCTCACTCTTTTTCTGGTCAGGTGCTTCCGTTACTCTGGCACCTTGACTCTTGGCTGACCCAGGACAGGTAATCCCCTGAGCATGGTCCCTGTGTACTGCTTAGATGGGACAATGGATATAATAATGTTGTTTCTGGTTTGTGTGCTGTCAGGAGTTCCAGGAGAGGTGAGGCCTAGCAGTAGTGGAATGTGGGCAGAGAAGCCAGGGAAAGGTGAATGTCTGCAGCTTTGTAAGTGTGTCCAGGTTATTCATTGCATGTCTCTTAGGATAACTTATATTGTTGGGGAAGCTGGGACATAAGTCTTCAGCTTAATGGATGGACTTAAGGATAATGACCATTTGTTCCTTTTGGGATTATGATTGGTTGGATTATGATTGGTTGGATTGCTGTATGGATTTGTGATTTGCTATTGTGCTCTATTGTCACCAAGCTTGATTAATAAAGACTCCTTAATAAATCTTAGATATGTCTGGTGTGATTTCGCTCGCACCCTGCAACAAAAGGTGTAATTAATGCTTGGCTCTGTGGCGCAATGGATAGCGCATTGGACTTCTAGAGAACAAAATGTGTAATTAGACCAGGACCAGTGAATTTCAAATTACTACAAATCAGGGACACTTGTGGGAGTTATTAAACAGACTGCTGGGATGCTCATTATGTTATAACATTTGGGCCACGGCATGGGACACCTATGTCCCATTGTGCAGTGCTTGGTTTCAGCTACTCCATGCTTCTGATCCAACTTTCTGCTAATGTGCCTATGAAGCAACCAATCATTGCCCAAGTACTTGGGTTCCTGCTACCTTTGTGGGAGACCCTGGCTCCACAACTATGGCCTGGCCTAGATTTGACTGTTATGGGCTTCAGGGGAATGTTTCGGCAGATGGAAAATCTCTCTTTCTCTGTCACTCAACTTTTCAAATAAAACACATACACACACCCAACCACCCAGCGTTGCTGGTCCAGGGACCACACTTTCAAAACCAGTTGGTTAATCTAACAGGATCCTCAAAATCTTTGACTCATCATGTATAAATCTCTTGCAAGTCCATATCATTAATCCCTCCTATGTATATACCAGCAAGAGCCTACCTAGTAATCACCCACAGGAAATTACAGAACAAGGGAATTGGCTCTTTCTCTGTCATCTTCATTGTATCAGAATACAAACTCCTGAGATCCCCCTCCCAACCCTCCCATTTTGTATTTCCTCAGATCCTTAAATGTAATCTCCAAGATAGAGACTTTTGACATCCTTTCCCTAGAGAAAACTCAACAGCACCTAGAAGGGTATTGTTAATGTGGTTAGGGATCCTGCACAGGTATAAAGTTGACCAGGTAGTTGCCTGATAGGAATTGCTCCTTTCCAATAAACCTGGAGCAGGAATCCTGCTTCCCTGTCCAAGGAGGAGGAGGAAGATGTCTGATTTTAAAACAAGAATTCACCTCAGAACAATCTCAAGTGTCTTTTAAGGTTAAAGATTCTAAAAGGAGCGACAAGAGCAATTATTTCCCATCTGTGACTAATTCCTGTAAGTAACAAATGATTTCAACCAATGAGATAGAGGAGATGTTGCTCCAGGGACAGAAACTGCAGATTGTAAAGAAAGGCGGTGGTAATGCTCTACTGTTGATTACACTGCTGATCCCTGTCTCCCCCAGAACCCAGCCCAAAGACAGAGGATGGCTGCTCACTGTTTCGGGGTTTCTCCTCATCCATGCCTTCATCCTCATTCTCAGGGTCAATGTCTTCTGCCTGAGTGATCCAGTCCAGGTAGCCTTTGAGGTCCTCTTCCAGCTGCTGCTTCTCCCGCAACTTCTGGAAATCTCCTCGAGCTTTGGCCTTCTCCCTCTCTTTGGAAAACTCTCTGGAGACAGGGGTGGGGGATAGAGTGGACAAGAGTATAGAGAAGGAATTGGGTATAGGAGAGGTGGAGATAAGGGGGAAAAAGAAGTATTAGTTGCTTGGTAGGAAGACACCACAAGCCCTGACTTTGCACACAGCTTTCTCTGGCCAGTTCATGTTTCATTTTGACCCTTTCATAGAGAAAGGAGTCAATGGAGGGGACAAGGTGGACACAGGCATGATGGTCTCATTGTATGACTCAAGTCCATTTCCCTTTTCACTAAGTCTCATGCCCAGCTTTTGCCTTTTGATAACAAATGTCCTCCCCCATCCCCATCCCCCACCAAGACGTTGGTGCATTTTTCAACCAGGAACTAAACACCCCACAATGGTTAATGACCAATCATATGCCAAAGCCTACTCCTCCACATCGTGTCCCAAGAGCCAAGTGTGCACATCCCTTGCTATCTCTGACTTCCGTGATGTCATCAGCCATGTTGGGAATACTTACACCACGGAAATGCAAATGCTCTAAACCGGAGCTTTCTTCCTCTCAGAGATGAACTATTTAGCAGGACCTCATTGGTGCAGGAACCAGGAGATTTCTCAGGAGTAGAGCTCAACCTACCCTTGTTAGCATGCCTGGAGGGATCTCTAGTCTAGAGGTGGCTCTTTCCCACATGGAGACATGAGGATTCCAAGCACAAGAAAATGTTCTGAGGTTGCCATTTTGGTCAAAAATTCCCAATTAGAATTTGAAAATACATAAAGGCCAAATGATATCCAAGTTAAAGGACACATTCAATTTAAAGTAGTAATGAATTGGATCTGGTTTAGTGTTTGCTAGAGGAGCCTACTGATGATATCTGACAGAATGGTGGTTTCCATTTTTTATGACTGTCCTTGTATTCTATGATTTTCAATTCACTTTCTGAGCAAGAAGAGATCTGACAGCAGAAGCCCACAACTAACAAGGCTCATTCTTAAGTTCAAAATGGGGTTGTGTCTTTTCTTCTAAAGGAGGTGTATAGGAATGTCTTTGTCTTTGGAATGGTGGTGGTGGTGTGTGTGTGTGTGTGTGTGTATACATGCCTACATGCACTGGGCATACTGGGCATCTTGGCTGATTCCTGGAGCCATGATTTTACCTTCTTTCACAAAGGTCTGGAGCAGGGCAAGAGCATAAACACATCTTGAAGGAATTTCTTGGACAAGGCAAACACCTAACAGATAGGGGGGCAATAAGCCTGGCTCTTAATCTTGCCACCATGCAGTGTGTCCCATCATCAAATAACTGCCTAGTGTCTGCATCCTGCCTGTGCCACTCCAGAGAGCACAGCTTTCATGGTGAAATCAAGCTGGGGGTGGGGAGGGGTCTGGGGATGTTTTGTGATTGGGAGAATGTGGGACTCTCAAGCTAATGAGTTCCCTTCAACTGCTGCCTTAATGCTGCTCCAGTTTGGATTGAATTTTCTTCTTAAATTTGATTGAATCCAATTCTAATTGGATTGAACTTGCTATTTCTCAGGCTTCCTGCCAACCAAAGGGTACCTTCATTTCCTTTCCAGGGATTTTTAGCTATGGAAGAAACTGGACTGACAGCTCACAACAAAGATAGGAGCCTTGCCCTATTTTGCTCCTTCCTTGCTGGACAGATGCCAGCTCCCCTCCCCTAAACCTCTATGCCCTGTTCTTCCAAACCTCCTGAGGGCTTGGTCTTCCTTTCCACAGTCAACATCACAGGGCATTGCTCATCTTGTACAAATCAACTCCCAAAACTGCATTCCAAGGCCTCTCTTGGGACTCTTTCTGTTATACTCACTCTCCGTCTAGGTCCCTTATATATGGAGTGTGTTTAAGGCTGTGAGGGGTGGATGGTTGAGACTTCACCTGGGCTTTTTTGAATGGCTTTTCAAGCTGTGGTTACAAAACTTCTCATCCCTCCTTTGGAGAGGGGCTGGGCGGGGGGCAGTGGTGGCAGACAGGACTGGGATCCAACTGGGATAAAGATGTTCCATCCAGTCCTGTTTCATAGCATCTTCCCCCATGGGATGAGAGCTCCCATCTGTACCTCCAGACTTGTAGGGGAACTAAAGGAAACAGCCATGGGGAGAGGGGTGCTGATGACCTGGACTGGCATAAGGGTATGAAAGGACATGTCTTGTGGGGAGGGTTAGGGGAACCACAAGATCAAAGGCACTGCAGGCTCCCATGAAGAGAAGGCTGAAAACAGGCTTGTACTCGAATGCAAGGGAAGCCCAAGTTCCCTTCCCCAGACGCCATGTGGTAAGGGATGTGCCAAACAGCAATGCTTGGCCCTCTTTATCTCCTTGCTTGGATGCCAGCCATATGCTGCCCTAGGGACCAAGTCGATGAAGACATGAAACCCTAGCCTGATGGGCTGTTCCAGGCCCAGGGACCAAAGCAGCAAGACAATCAGTCACAGCTGTGGGACTGGGATTCGTCATGCAGCATCTCCTGCCAGCAAGGGAAAATGAGGGCTGGAATGGAGGGTCTGGAGCTGGTACACAGTGATATAAAGGAAGGGGTTGTGGAATATCCATTCCTTATGAACCACAGAGGCCCCTGGCACATGGATAACCAACATAGCTAATGGCCATTTTTTTGGTGGCTTTCCCATTTATGAATTTATCTGCCTGCTAAAATTTATTTGGAATGCCAAAATTAATCCTTGTGCCACTTACATGATCATATGTGGACATGCTCTCAGCGGAGGTTACGCAAGGCAGCACTCTCCCCTTCTTGGTCCAGTTCTCATGTGATAAACAGGTGTTCTTTTTGCAGTCAATCTAGTCTATTCTGGAATATTAGTGCATTTTTGGGGTGAATCTCCAGTTTAAAAATGACCCTCATGGGCCAGGCATGATAGCCTAGCAGCTAAAGTCCTTGCCTTGCACATGCCAGGATCCCATATGGGTGCCAGTTTGTGTCCCAGCCACCCTACTTCCTACCCAGCTCCCTGCTTGTGGCCTGGGAAGGCAGTTGAGAATGGCCCAAAGCCTTGGGACCCTTCACCCGTGAGGCAGACCTGGAAGAAGCTCCTGGCTCCTGGATTCAGATCCGCTTTGTTCCAGTTGTTGTGGCCACTTGGGGAGTAAAATCAGCAGACAGAAGATCTTCCTATCTATCTCTCTTCGTCTCTGTATCTCTGCCTTTCCAAAAAAACTATATAAATCTTAAAAAAAAATGAGCCTCATTCATGGTGCTGAGGAGATCCAGATGTGCCTCATAGAGAGAATGTATATGCTAAATAAACTTCCTTCAGTCACGAGTATATGGGCCACAAATTTAATGTCATTGAATCCATGATAGATGCAAAGTAAAGCATCTTTCAGTGGAAGCACATATAAAACACAGGTATGCACCGACTGGTTGACAAAATGGTATGACCACAGGCTGGCAGAAACTTAGCTCTGTACTTCTGCTTCCTCTCTGTCACTATTTCCTCAGCCGGAGTCTGTGGTGTCTTTACACAACAGAATTCAGTCACAGGCATCAAGTAGAGTGGGTCTTCAAAAAGTTCATGGAAATGCAAAAAAAATTTACATGATCTCAAGCTTTTTTTTTTTTTTTTACTCTCTGCTCCATTTTCGAATAGCATTTTGAAGCATCCTTGTATGTGCTGCTACCTTGTCTGCTCTTATTCATAAGGCAATTGTGTCCTGGCCTTTTATTGCTCCCTTCTGTCTCTGGGTATTGTGATCATTTGTCTTAGCAGTGGTATCATAGTGCAATTATGCTTCCAGGGCCTGAAGGTCTACCTCTGAGGTCCTCTGCTCTTCTGGGGGAGACAGGTGTGCCCACTTCCCAGTGGGAAAAAGAAGAGATGAGTCCCAGTGTAACGCATCCTCCTGGGCTTTGGCCAGTGCGTGCTGCCTAAGTATAGCTCTCTACGCAACTCCTTTAAAAACAAAATGAACCAGAGTCCAGAGACTTCCGTCTCATTACAGCTTGAAGTATAATTGCAAGGCTATCATCGTCAGTGTTGTCCCTTTAATTTTAGTCGGCCGGAGATTTGAGTTTTCTGGATGGGAAATTAATTATACTCTGATTATTATCTCTACTGACACCAGTCCTCTAACTTGCACAGGGTAGATGAGAAGCCTGACAGGTAAGGAATATGGAAACCTTTTTTAAAAAATGCTAAGATAAACATATGCTTTACACTAACACCATCTGGCCTTATGAGAAAGGAGGTGTTTTGGAACCACGAGTGGTCCAGTTTAAGAATGGCTAGCCTCTGATGACCAAAACCTTTGAATTTCTGCCTCTAGAATAGAAGTTTTAAAGAATATCATCTCCTAAATCTTCATGAGTGCACCAAGCACAACTAATCATTTCCCAGGCTACTGAAGGACATGATTCCTGAGACTGTGCTGGATTATAAAATCATATTAATGGAAGAATGTCAAGTGTCACATCTTCTGTCCCTAGCCCCAGAGGGCACCAAGACTGCATAGCCATGGACTCAGTAGTTCTGCTCTCTCCATGGAGAACTGCACCCTAGAACCCCTGCCCCACCAGCCATGCTAGCGGTGCCTTGGCAGTTTTCTGCTGGGCCTCTTCAGGTTCCCACTCACTATTTCCATTTGCTTGCATGTAAGTTGCTTCTGCTGCCTGCCTACCCCTTACCCTTCCTCCTTCAGCTTCCCCTCCTCACCTCCTCAGTTCCCATGAGAACATGGGATTGTCCAATTAAATGAGTCTGGGGAGGGTATGCCGTGCTTACTAGGGAGATAGGCTGTGGGTTCCACTGCTCCAGAACAACTCTGGAAACAACCATATTTGGAAACCACCATATTTCAGTAGTTAGAATCTTCTACACATCACTTTCATTTCCTGTCAGGTGCAGATCTGAATACCACCTTGTTTAGAATCATCCTGAGCAGGATTCCTACCTGCATCCAACGCAGAACTTAACAAAGGATGTTAATGAGGTAATGACCAACACTACTTCCATGGTGATGGTAAACTTCATGAAGCTTCAGGACCAGTCTGAACACTTTTGTTGGGTTGGCTCAAGCAGAAAGAATGACTTGTGAACCACTGGGTGCTTACCACATTCTTGCGGTGGTCGTGACAGTAGTCTGCCTTACCAATAGGGGCTAGATTCCAAGATTCCCAGTGGATGCTTGAAACTGCATAGTAGCTGGACTGATCATGTACTGTGTGCTTATTCACATCTATGAAAAACTGCAATTTATGCATTAGACACAGACATACTAATAGCAACCATCAAAAACAGAAGCTAACCATGCTAGCAATACAATGTAGTAAGTCAGGTGTGTGTGATCTCTTGGCTGCGATGGGGTGGAGAGAGAGGATATGCCGGATGAAGGGATGAGTCATATCCCTGGCAGGACTCAGTGAGACAAAGTAAGATTTCATCATACTCCTGAGAATGGTTATTTAAAACTTTTGAATAATTTACTTCTGGAATTTTCCATTAATATTCTTGGACTAAGGTTGACCACAAGTAAGTGAAACAAGGGGTGGGGATCCTGGCTGACTTGAAATGGCCGCCACCATACTGTCAGCTGAGTCTGTGTCCAGCTGCTGTTTGAGCATGGGCTGGGCCACCCATTTACAGTTGCAGCCGGCAGCAAAGGAGGCCTCCTTTACCCGGAGGGGGAGCTGCTTGCCCACAAATGCCTCTTGCCTGGCAGAGGCCCTGGAAGCTTTGGCAGATGTTCCCTCAGGGATTCTGGAGCTGCACAGCGCAGGCTGTAGCTTGGGCACGGGTAAGGAAGCAGATGCTGGGCAGGTCTCCAGGAGAGGCCAGTGTCTAGACGCAAGATCCATGGGTTCTGAGGTCACACAGCCTTTGTGATCCTCTCTGAGTATTAGGGAGTGCCAGCTTTGGGACAAGGGGGTTTTAGGTACTCTGTCTCACTTGGACTGAGTCAACGTAGGACATGGCTTTCCAAATGTATTTTTCTCCAACAGTCAGCAACTGCCGTCATTGCCTTCTCTGCTTTCACCAGCAGGCTAACTTCTCTGGCTTATGGGAAGCAGCTCTGCTTAAGGAAGCTCTGGGCTGTTCCTCATTCATCCCCAGCTTCCATTTCCAGGGGAAGGGGTTGCTACTTGCAGGAAGTGGAATACCAGGTTTTTAATGGTGTTGGACTCTGGTTGGTGTTACATCAAAGCTCATTCACTCTACAGCTAAAGGTTGCTGATGGGAACACGAGATCCAGGCCATGCGCCAGCTCTGGGGCTGCCTCTGCTCCTTTATAGCAGGGCGACTGCATACATACCATTTAACACCTCGAACCTCCTTTAAAAGGTAAGGAGGACAGAGGAGCTCTAACATCTGATGATTCTGGTCAATAATTCCAGTATGAAAGATACCAAATAGGAAAGAATCATTGTAGTGCTAGCCTCACCATGAGTATTTACTGCCTCCCTGCACTGTGCTAGGCCTTTGCCATAAATGACTTCACTGTCTCATCACAACCATTCAAGGTTTAATATTATCTTGTTTTTTCAGACGAAGAAACTAAAGTTCAAAATAGGGAGGGTACCTAGCACAAGCATCCAGCAGATGCATCTCTAGGGTAAACGAACCCTGTGTCCAGTGGGGGATCGAGGTTGATTCTGTTCAAAACCCTTCATGAGCATCGCCTTGCAGCATAGTTCTAATGCATGGCCTCAGTCGAGGACAGCCCAAAGCTTTGGGAACCTGCAAGACCCGAAGAGGCTCCTGGCTTCGGATCGGCATAGTAGCTCACTTGGGAGTGAATCATCGGATGGAAGGTCTGTATATCCGCCTTTCCAATGTAAATCAAAACCCTTCATGATGGCTTACACAGAAACACAAAGCCTCTTCTTGCATTGGGATACAAAAATGAAACCCTCCAGGCAGCTAGTCAGGAGTTGATTCTAGCCTGCTCATTGTTTCTCATCCCTGATGGAAGGTTCTAGGCTCCGGGGAGGAGAGAAGGTGAAGGCTCACTTGGCAAAAGGAGGGATGTTATCAAGCTCCCACCCACCGTGGGAAGCAGTGAAGAGGGAGCAGCTTCCTTTCTCTCCCCCAACCCCTCTCCATTCTGAAGGCGGGCCCCAACTGCATTATGTTAGGCCACTGCACAAGGCAACAGTCTCCCTTTGCTGTTTGTGCACAGAGTGAAAACAAAACACACTCTTTGTCCTTGTACTGGAACTACTCCCAGCATGACTATGCCTAGACACCCAGGAAAGAATACACAGCAGGTGATCTGTGCCCAGCAGAGCAGAAGTCCCTGAGGCCCGTGCCAGCATAGCAAAGGCAGCAGAGGGGTCACCTATGAGCAGCGTGCCAGGAGCATTTAGGTGTCAGGCCTTGGCCTGGCTGCTACGGCATTGTGAGGAAGATAGCGGGCTGGGGCAACACCCATGTGTCCCCCTGGCGAGATGGTAGCCATCTTCAAGACGGCATCCATAAGCTACTTCCATCCCTTCTTCATGTCCTCTGGATAAGGCCCAACATTTCAAACTCAGAGCCAACCACAGAAATTATAGAGACATGCATTCCAGTTCCTCTACTCTCGGAATTTAAACTGCAAAGGCTCACATTCTGTTGAGCAAAGGAAACATCCGGGTGATTGTTCAGCTAGAATTTAAACTGCACTGAAGGGATGTTCCAGTCTGCAACTGCTTATCTCTGTTTTCAACCAAAAATCATCTTCTCTTGGCCTGTTCACCTTTGAATACAATTGATCTGAAATCTTGACTGTGAGCCTCCCATACACTTTACGGGTTTAAGAGGACAAACACTTAGTTACAAGGCTGCTGTGTCCATGGGAGGCACAGAGTCTGTGTCTAGTCCTGCACATGCCTGCAGCCAAAGCCTTCCCTTTTAAGACTTACTGCAGGACTTCAAGGAGCCATGGTCACAAAGGTAGCAGAGAAGCTGCTGTCTTGAACAGCCATCTTGGGCTGGGACCAAGCAGGAAACATTGGCAGCAGGCCGGTAGGACAAAGTAGTTCTTGACAAAGCCATTGTGCTCCTCTCCTCTGTCTGTCCCCAAACCTTCTTGTATATTTGACCCTCCTCCCAGCCAGGCCAAGGACATTTCACTCCAAGCCTCCCAAGGTGACCCCTTATCCCAAGTTCACCATCCCAGAACAAAGAATAGAGCCAGGAAGAGGAGCAGAGAGAATAAATAAAAAATAAATGGAAAAATCAAGACCTTTTTCCTTGGTCCTGCTTACCCGCTAAGAACACCGAGAACCAAGTTAAGTACAAAAAATGACCCTATGATGATTAGTGTAACAAAATAGATCCAGGGCCAGTCCCTTCCTACGGCATCATTGACCTGGAAGAACGGAATGATAGTTAGTCAGGCACACATAGCAACCGAGCATGGCCAAGCGCCTGCCCCTGGCTCCCCAGGCACTGCCCCAAGCAGTGCTGGGACCCAGGGATCCTCCAAGTGTAAATCAAAAGCCAAATAGCTTGTCCAGCCAATGGGTCAGAACTTGTACTTGAATGGAGACTTTTTGCACGGGTTGTCTTGGGCCTGATAGAGTCCCATGTTTAAGGATCCTTGCCATGGACACAGTGGAACCTGGGACCTTGCTCGGCTGCATCATAAGGGGTACATAGAAATGGTCAGCTTACCCGCTCAACACACCGAGAACCAGATTTAGAACGAAAAAGGATCCAAAGATGACCAGACTGACAAAATACACCCAGGGTAGCTCATAGCCCATAGCGTCCTGCATCTGGAAAAGTGGAGGAAAAGGTAGGAAAGAGAGAAAGCAGATTTGAGTTGCAGCAAAGAGGCAGGTGGACAGGAGTGATAACAGATCTAGAGCAGATAGTGGGGCTGCACTTGACTTTGGATCCCCCTGGATCTGATCCACCGTAACTTTCACCCTCATCTATAACCTACTTCTCCACCACCTAGGTCTGGACTATAAGAGGGGTTTTGTAGGCTCTGCCTCCAGGGGACTCCTGTCTGGCTCTCGCTGTTGTATTTCCTGGAAAAGAAAATGTCTCTAGTGTTCTCTATTTGCTTGTGGATGGGAGATCACCTCAGGAAAACAAAAATGGAATTTGTCTCAGCATGGAATGGTTTTAACTCAGCTGGCTCATGTGGCCATTACATCTACTGCACCCTGAGGCTCTCTGACCTTGGTGTCTGAAGCACTTCAGCTCCTTGCAGACCAAGCTGGAGAATGGAAGCCTTGGAGGATTCTATGGAGATAAAAGATGCCTTCCTTAGTTCTTGCCACTTAGACCCTGACTGGGACCAGAATTTAGAGGTTGAAGTTCAGGATTTCACAAGTTCTGCAGGTGAGAGGATGGAAAAAAGCACCGAGTTGGTTTATGTTCCTGCACTTATACTTACAGCCTAGATGATGATGATGATGATGGGAGCCTGTAACTGATAGGCGAATGGAGAAACTTACAGCACTAGCGCCTGTTAGGGATATGGAAACTGGTGACACACAACTCTCCAACTTGACCTTTACCGACCATGTCGATTATCGGACACTGGCCAGGATGGAAGTATGGAAGTAGTATGTATGTATGTATGTATGTATGTATGTATTTGCTTTGTTGTTTGTTCTCTCCCTTTTTTATTTTTCATGATACAGTTCCATAAGCTCAGCAATTTCCCCTTCTTCCCTCCTCATGCTCCATCTTCTGCCCCTACTGCAAAAATGGATGAAGAAACTGGAACATCTACTCAATGGCGAATGTATTTACACTCTACAAGTGGTCAAGTAATACAGATCAGCCCTCTTGTGGTCTTTGTCCCTGGGAAGCCATTCTTAGACATGTACCAACCCACCCCTGGCTACAAGGTGGCCGTCAACAAAGTCACAGAGCAGCAGTTCTTATCTAAAAGGAATCCATTCTGATTTAATTTCTCAAACCTATTTCTCCTGAGGTTAACTTGTTTAAAGGGGATTCGTAAATGTGAACCCCAGCTTTGTCCCTGTGAAATTACCTTATGGAAACCCAAATCTCTAAGGTGCATGAGCTTCCTGAATGACCTGTATCAGTGGTTCTCTGAGTGTGGCCCTGTGAGCCAGCACTCTCGCAAACCCTGGGGAGAGTGGTGAGCATGACAAATCGCTGGGCCCTGCGCCCCACATCTCTCACTGTGGCTCACAACTCTGTCTCCATCATTCCACATTTTAGGGGGCTGAAATGTGATGATCAGTGCTGTGACTTGTTCCTCTCAGACCCCAAATGAATATAATTTCCAGTATGATAAAGCCCTTGTGGCATCTCAGGCCCCGTTTAGCTGGGAGGGATGAGGCACATCTCCCAGGTGCTGTGTGTGCTCTGAGTATAAATATTCGAGAAGTTCTAACAGCCTACTGAACTCACAATGTCTTTTATGAACCCAGGAATACTCACTTGGTGTGAGAAAGCCACCCAATGTAGTGCAAATATTGTGTCAAAATTGGTTTAAACTAGCAGAGGAAGTGTTCCTAATAGGTGAGAGGACTTTAAAACATGCATAGAAAAATGGCATTAAAAGATAAGTTTATTTGGGGGCAAAATAATTTGAAATTCATGGCAATTTTTTTGAAATTTACATTTTCTACATCTTTTCAAGTGTCCTCTCTCATGCCTACTTTACCAGTTTAAATTCAAGTTAACATGAGCTGATTAAATAGTTTCATTCAAGACCTATTTTTGGTCTTTTTTTTTTCCCATAGCTATTGCTTTGGATAGCTCACCTATCTACTGTATTTATTATTTCTTATTTGTCTTATATGCTGGGATTTAGCTACATTAGAATGAGCAGTTTGGGTCTATTTTAACTCCTGGTGAGTCCCATGTGCCAAGAAAAGTACCCGACACATGGCTGGTACTCAGTACATGAATGACTGAGCTTGAAATGTGCTAGGCGGAAAGTCACTCTTGCCAATAGGGAGTACAGGTGCACGGAAGGGTAACTACACTACAAAGCAGTACATGCAACTGTACGATTACAGGGTTACAGGAGCCCAAAGGAGAGTGGGGCTGGGTGACGTGGAAGTCAGAGGGCTAGAGAGTGGAACTGCTGAAGGCACAGGCAGGAAGTTCAGGGTTCATGTGATCCTGGGAATAAGGGCTTCCTGGGAAACTGGCAGTTGTTAAAAATAGAGCCTACAGCTATAAACGCTTCCTGGCTGTGGGGTGGAGGATTTTCCCAGTGGTTGAATTACTAAAATATTTAGCCAAACAGCATCTGTCAGGATAAGCAGGGTGGGTATTTATGTGTCATATCGTTCCCAGTCAGGAAGCTAGGAGCCTTCCTTCAGCCAGCAGGAACCAAGCATGCAAAGGAAACCAGAGCAGTAGAGAGAACTTCCATAAAAGTCTTTGTCACCAGGAGAAGAAAAGCAAAAACAGCATTAATGCAAGATGTGGAAGGAACAACAAAAGGAGACTAAAGGGAGGCATGGTGAGTCAGAGGCCAGTGGCCACGAGGCCACACAACAGCAGGATCTGTGAGTCTCACAGTGACATAGATTGGGAGGCCATTCTTTGGTTACCCTTGACAGCAGACATATCAGAGTCCACATTTGTTCATGGAGCATGTCCTGAGTGCCTACTATGTAGGTGTGTATATTGTTTGGACTTTGCTACAGCTAGCTGAATAGGACTACAAGCTACCCTGTATCCTGGGTGCCAGGCATCTGCCAGGGAATTGCTGCTCTGGCACAAGTCCATGTAAATCTTTTGAGTCTGCTTGCAGCTTTTCTTCTCTAAGAAGGAACCCTGCTTAAAGGACCAGAAGCAGTCCCTTCCTTTTACTCTACATCAGTATTTCTTTATCCCTGGATGGTGATAGGGAGGTGTGCAAAGGCCTGAGGAGAACTAGGATCTCTCACTAGAAAACAAAGAACATAATGCACCATTTTGTACCCAACTCCATGGGGCAACAACTCCTGAAGTCCAAGCCTGAACCACGTGTCCCTGACCTGCTTTCATTATTGCCCTGCTTGTTTTGTACTTATCCAAAAGATGTGTGTGTGTGTGTGTGTGTGTGTGTGTGACAGAGAGAGACAGAGAGAGAGAGAGAGAGAGAGAGAGAGAGAACTGAATGATTGAATGAATGAATGAACGAATGAATGAATGAATTCATGGTGGAGTGTAGCTCCCCCTTGCTTATCCCTGGAGTGCAGACACTCTCCACAGGAGAGGTAGGAGCAGGGAGTGTGCTCTTACAGCTGCCTCTGGAGCCTGGGCAGAAGTGAGCAGGAGAGCCTCAGCCAACCTCCATGAAATGAGCTCTTCCTCACCAGCTGCAAGTTTTAGGAACAGGTTCACTCCAAATGTGCAATCCTGCAAGTCTCACACACATCCCAATGCATTTCAGAAATTCCCTTGGCCTCTGATCATTGTAGCTAATTCCTTGAGCCTCATACATCATTAGGGACCTCAAGTGGATGTGTTTCTGTCCTCAAGGTGATGCTTCCATAGATAGCCAGGGCCAGGGCAGGGAAGTGCTCAGCCTCCACCCTCCCCTGTTGTTCTGCATTTTTACTTTGGCTTCCTCATTTCCCATGGGCTGGTCCTCTTCAATTCAAGATGGTGAATGAGACACCAGGCTGGGATGCAGTGGTTAAGGCAATACTTGGGACACTGATGTCCCACACTGTAGTGCTTGTTTGAGACCTGGCTGCTTTGTTTATGATTTAGCTTCCTACTAATGGCAGTAGACGGTGGTTTACTTACATGGGTTCCTAATACCCATGTTGAAGACCCAGATGGAGTTCCTGGCTGCTGTCTTTGTGCCACTTGGCTGTTGTGACCATTGAGAAGCAAACCAGTGGATGAAAAAGCTCTTTCTCTCTCATTTTGTCTTCCAGATAAATAAATGCATCTTTTAAAAATATATAGTAAATGATAGGTGAATGGAAGGAAGATAGAAGAAGAAATCAAAGATGACTGAATTTCCACTGATCCTAAGAACTTCATTACTTCCTGGTGATCAATGTGTAGAAGCTTACAGAAGGAGGCTCTGTGGTCTGCCGGGTCTGGTAGAATAAAAGGCCCCCTTTCTGTCTCTATTGATTCCTTCTCCTTACTTTGGGACTCTACATCTGGGGGAAGGCTGGCAGAGAACATGCAATGTAGGGTGACTCTGAAGTAGGGCAATGCCTAGAGTGATAGATAAGATTGCTGAATTAGGACCCAGTCCTATTAGGCTATTGGCTAAAGTCCTTGCCTTGCACATGCAGGGATCCCATATGGGTGCTAGTTCTAATCCTGTCACCCCTGCTTCCTATCCAGCTCTCCTCTTGAAGCTTGGGAAGGCAGTCAAGGATGACCCAAAGCTTTGGGACCCTGCACCCATGTCAC